GAACCCATGGCCAACATGGACAGCATTCAGCTCAAGCTATACATGGCTGAAGTGGGGTGTGGCCACAGCAGACCAGCTCTAGACCCCAGGCTGTCCAGCTCACCTGTCACTGAGTAGGACACACCTTTCAGGGCACTCTTGACGGATTCACATGGCCTCTTGATGGAAGTCAGGAAGCTTAATAAAATTTGCTCCTCTTCTGTCCTCCCCTTGAGGTCACTCTTCTTGGCCTTTCCACATAAGCTTAGGAACCCAGAGGTGCAGGGGCATGTCCATTTCTCACCCACGTGGCCGCCTGGTCTTCTGCCTCTCTTTCTAGCCCTGGAGACAGCTTGCGTCTCTCCTCTCCTCACCTTGGCCAGGTCTGTCTGGGCATTTTGAACCTTGAGTCATTCCCCATCTCAGCTGGGCTTGACATTCTTGCCACTCTGCTCTGCATTTTCTGCCTACTCCTCAGAAGTTTCCATCCACACTAGGTCTCTGGTGTTCTCCTTTCACATTCTCATTACTGAAGGAGCTCTAAAGTTATCCTCAATATCCCCAAGATGTTCTGTGTCCCTAGCCTGCTATTCTACTGCTGGCCTCCAAGTGCCCTTGGGACTTTGGCTCTTACTGACCTAATGCCCAGTGTTGGGTATGGCCCCAGATTCCTGGGTCCCTGGATACCTTTCCCACTCCTTGTTTGGCCCCCTGGTGCTGGTTCTGTCCCCGGCCTTTTGACTGACACTGGCCTTTGTTCTGAGGGTCAGGAGGCAGAGACTTCTTTAATGTTTACATCCACTCTCCACTGGCACTGCGGCCAGTTGGGAGTCACTTTGCTCTGGGCTTTTAGAATGTACCTTTAACATGAAAGGACCATGAGAAGTTGGGCAGCAGGCTCTGTGGCCGCAGCTCTGGCTTAGAGACCTGCGGGACCCCTCTGGCTCTGGGAGAGTGCTTCCTCCCGGTCTTGGCCTGGATTGAGGCCCATGGCTCTTACACAGCTAGGATGAGCCCCTCCACTCTCCACTCACCCTCATCCCCAGTACTTTGTCCCTGTTAAGCTTCTTCTGAAATCCAGGCAGGTAGGTCAGGTGGCCGGCTTTGCCCCACTCAGGGCAGTCCACTGTCTTGGCGAACGGGGGGCCATATCCCAGGATGTCCTCTTCACACTGCCATTTCATCGCAGCCCCTCACCAGCTCCCCTTGTAAAACATGTACAGACTCCGTGCAGATTTGGAAATTTTTTTTGTATATTCTATGTTGGAATTTTTCAGATCCTTTAGCTAAGTCATATGTTCTCATGTCTCTTACTCTTTGTTCCTTGTATGAAACTTCTTGATTTCAGCCAAAACAGTAAAGATGACAACACACACCAATTTGAGGAGGATGGGGGAGCCCACACCATCCATCATGCAGAGCTCTTTCAGATGGGAAGGGAAGGCCGTGTACATAGTCCTGTAAAGAGATTGCTTCATGAGCTGGTGGTTCATATATGCAAAGGGTGAGACGAAAGCTTTACTTTGTACAAATGTGAATAGATAAAGATTAAGTAACATAATGCATTACTTCTTCTTGAAATGTGCTATTTGCAAACCTGATATCAGTGAGCACGGTCTGCTAAGGCTGTGTTCCCCGTGTTGTTAGAGACAGCTAAACCCTTCAACTATGCAATGAACGTTAGGGCTTCTCACAAAAGCCCGCCTAACTCAAAGGAGCCTTTTCAAATCCATTTACAACATACTTAAGGTCATATTTTCCCTGAACAAGCGCTTAAGTGATATGACTCTGTTTTCCTTGCTTGTTTTTTTTTTTTCAAATGGAGAAACATCCTATTTTGCAGAGGGGACCCCAGGCTGGAACTTTGCATCTGAAGTTGCTGCTTGTGGGCTTCAGGGGCAGGTGCGCCCCAGGAAGGCAAACCAGTGCCAGGGAGGGTGGGATTGGTCAGATGCCAAAATCAGGGGCCGGCAGATGGTGTCTGGCAGACAGAGCAAGCTGTCAGAATCGTTCACCGCCAGTCACGCTTTTAATTCTTTGATTAGTGCTCCTCTCTTTTCCCCCAGAGCATAGAATTCCCTCCTCTGACTTCCCCTAGTAACTTTTATTCATTCTTAAGAATTCACCCTTGCTATCTCCAGAAAGTTCTCCCCAATCTTTCAGACCCTTCAGGGTCATCTGTTTCACACTCTCATTGCCAAATGTATGCCACAATGATGTTCAGCTTGCTCATGTGCTCAGTTATTGAATGTCCATCTTCCTTTCTTGAGATTTACCTCCACGACAGTACTCCTTGTCTTAGCTATCCTGGACACCCCAGCATTCACCTAAGTGCTTTGCTGTCTCAGGTAATTAATGGCACTTATTATATGAATCAATGAATATGAAATGTTGAATTTTACTGCAAAAAGCCAAATTACGGCATTAGACCATACCAGGTACAAGGTAGTGTCTGACCGGCTGGACCCATAATGATGCAGAGGGTTTTGGGATGTCACTGATTGTAAACCAGGAAGACTCCTGGCTACAGATCAGAAATGGGTGTGGCCCTTTCATTCCTCTCACATTCTAATTCTTCAGAGTTTAGATCTGCAGATGACCCTGCACACATTCTTAGGATGTTTCCATGGGCCAGACTACCAATAGGAGCAAGTGAGGCCACTATCACACTCTTCACTCAGATTTGGTGGTGAATTGGCCAGAATTTATTTGTTCCTCTCTAATCATGGCAAGGTCGCAGTACATGCCCCTGCGACTGTTTTCCAGTACATTCTTAGGGTCATACTTTGGATGGTGTTAATCCTTTTTTACTAATTTATAATGGGCAGCTAGTAGTTGTTGCCATCTTAGCAACATCATACTTCTGGAATAATCCAAAATGCACAGGGATCACCCTCTTCAGTGTTTTGGTATCAGAAGATGAGCTTTGAGCACTGCTACCTCCAGTGGGCAGGACTGGGACCTATAAGGGCCAGGGTCATATGAATGGAAGGGCAGATAGGACCCCTGTCTGCAAAAAGAACAACCTAAAATAGGAGACACAACATCTGAAAAATTCTAGAAAATCACTTTGCCATCACTGTATGTTTCCAGTGTTCCTAGTGCTATTCAGTGAATGATGAACAACAAATATTTTTGTTGCCAATTACTCTCTTAACTTCATGAAAACTAACATGGTGACTACTCTGTGCATTCTTTTCTTTTTAAAATTGAAGTGTAATTGACATAATGAATTACACAAGTTTAAAGTTACAAATGGACGTATCATCTTTGGTAAATATCTGAACCCACAATGGCTGAATCATATGCTTAATTTCTTAAGAAACTGCTCAACTGCTTTCCAAGGTGATTGTACCATTTTGCATTTCCAGTGTATGAAAATTCCAGTTGTTCCCTGTCTTCACCTTCACTTCAAATGCTCACTCTAATATTAACCACTCTGGGCTGGCTCTGTTGCTTGCTGGTCAACATACCTGTGATTTAATCCACTCCTGTATGTGTGTAATAGAACATCTCTGTGGTCTTAATTTGCACCCCCAATGACTATTGATGCTAAGCCTCTTTTTATGTACCTGTTTGCCATCTGTTTATCATCTTTGGTGAAATGTGTTTCATATCTTTTGCCTATTTAGAATTTCTGGCCTATTTAGAATTTTTTTTTATTTTTTTGAAGTCTGAGAGTTCTTTCTCTAGACTGTATACAATTCCTTTACCAGTTACATGAATTGAACGTCACCACCCCGACCTGCAGCATACCGCAGCTTGTCTCTGTATGCTCTCTGCAGTGTCTTTCAAAGAGGAGGAGGAGTTTTGAATTTCAATGTAGTCTAATTTGTAAATTTTCTTTATGGGTCATGCTTTTAATGATATATCTAAGAAATGCTTGTTTAACCCAAGTTCACAAAGACTTTTTTTGTATAATTTCTTCTAAAAGCTTTGTCATTTTACATTTATGTCTGTAGTCCACTTTAAGCTAAATTTGTATATGGTGTAAGGTTTAAACCAAAGTGTTTTCTTCTCTCCCCACCTTCCCTGTGGTACTAGGGATTAAACTCAGAGATACTCTATTGCTAAACTATATCTTGAGAATGTTTTATATATTTTTTTAATATTTAGTTTTTTTTGGCATTGGAGATTGAGCCCAGGGGCATTTAACCACTGAGCTACACCCCCAGATATTTTATTTATTTATTTAG